TCCTACTGAGTTTTGGGAGCATTTAGCATCCCGGGGATACTCAACCCCAACCGAGTTTCAGGATCATTTACCGTCCCGGGGAAACTCAACCCCAACCGAGTTTCAGGATCATTTGCAGTCCCGGGGATGCTCAACCCCAACCGAGTTTCAGGATTATTTATAGTCCCGGGGATGCTCAACCCCAACCGAGTTTCAGGATCATTTATAGTCCTGGGGATGCTCAACCCCAACCGAGTTTCAGGATCATTTATAGTCCCGGGGATGCTCAACCCCAACCGAGTTTTAGGATCATTTAACGTCCCGGGGATACTCAACCCCAACTTAATCCTTACCAAACCCTAACCTGGATATGGCTAACCTTTCGTTCCTTTAACTATGGACAATACCTAGCCATATAGTCATATAACCATCCTTAGGAACCAATAAGGGCGGGTCCCACCTGAACGGCCCACATTAACCTGCTCAAAACTGCCCATTTTGAGCATAACCCAATACTCGATCGAGTATCTACCCATACTCGGTCGAGTACAGGAGACAGTAGCCCACAAAGCAAATTTTGAATGTATACTCGATCGAGTATCTACCCATACTCGATCGGGTATAGGAGGCAGTAGCCCCCTGGGGTATGGCAGTTGACTTGTCAGGTATGTGTCAATACCCTGTCGGGTATGGCAGTTGACTTGGCGGTCAACGCCCGTTTGACAACTCAAACGGAGTCCGATTAACGTGAAATTTTATACACATATACTTCTTGACGTCCTTGATCCAAAAATACCATTTGGATCCCTGGAACATCACACATAATAAGTTATCACATTTTTCATCACCAAACCTACATAACATGTTTTTCAACTATGTTTTATGTAATATCATGGCATAAGCAAACACTTGGTTATCTTTAATCATTCCACAAAACATATCCTTGATTACTTTAGGTAATCCCATGCCTCAATAAAAAGTTATAAAGCATAAAGCCGTCTTCTCACCTTAATGAAGCTTATGAAGTTCTAGCCTTCCCGATTTAGCTCCGGCGAAACTCCGGCGAACTTTAACGAACTCCGGCGACAACTCTTGCGACTCTTTCAACTCCTTGAAAGTTCCTTGAATACCTTAGACAAGTTACTAACAAGGTTTTATCATCATAAAACCCATAGTAATATAAATAACCTCAAAAAGGTTATTTTCCGGCGAACCGGTCACTTTGGCTTCTAAGCCCGTTCTTGGACTTAGAACTACCTTCCAACCCCTCATTCTACTTCTCCAAACATGTAGAACAATTATAGGGGTTCTCCATATAACATATAAGTCATATGGTAGTTAAAGAGTAGAGGAAGAGTTAAAATGAGGTCATTACCTTAACCACCATACTTTTTCCTTCCTTCTTCTTCTTTAAATTTCTGACTTTGACCTCCTTGGGCTTAGCTCGGATTTGGCTATGGGAGAATGGGGTTTCAGAGCTTCCTTTCTTCCTTTCCTTGGTCTTGGCCAAGTTAGTGGGAGGGGGATGGGTGGGAATACCCTTTTTGGCTCATTTGAGCAATGAGTGATGGGAAGCCCCCCCCCCCCCCCCCCCCCCACCATGTTTTGTATGATGCCAATCATCTCAAACCAACTTCCTCCCACCTCCATCCATTTTCCACGCCTCCCAGATCACTTTGATGAGGTATACTCGTGGTTTGGCCCCCACTTATGTGGGAGGTCAACCCTTTGTGTCCCCGAGTGTACAATCGGCCCTGAAAGTTGTATTTTCCGGACTGCTTTAACTATATTTTATTTTATCAGGTCAAATAAAATATAACACTTGTTCCCAATACTTATTGGACCTTAGAATCAATATGCATTCTCCAATTTTAATTTAGAAGTCTCCGAAATCCCTTTTTGGGCATTATCTGATAAATTGCCGATACTCATAATTTGGCCCCGTTTGACCAACCCGTCAACCCTGTGCCATTGCCATGGCCCAATTAGGATATCCACCACAATATACATATTATCTAGTCCAAGATTAGTATAATATGTGGTCCAGATAATATCGGACGGCCCCACATCCGGTGTGGGCCCCACGTGAATTTTACTATTCACGTAAAAGAAATGATAAAAATTTACAATCACGTAAAAATGCTTTTATACATTTCTCAGGGTTCAATACATAATTTGATAAAGTACGAATACTTGGGGGCGGTGTTACAATATTCCTCTCCAATATTCTGGGTCTAAACCCTTTTACATTTCTATTATTAGAAAGTGGCTCAAAAAAGTCTTTTATATTATTCCTTTATCTTTTATGCGGCCCAAACATTCATAAGTAACACATTTCCTTATTCTTGGGCTTTTATTTATATCACCAAGGTCCATGAATATATTAGTTGGTCCCTCCCAATATTTAGAGTCCGACACACAATATAATTAATCAGAACTAATTTAAATTAATTAATCATTTCTAGTATGGTTAATATACTTGTAACTAGTTTTCAAAGTGAATAAATATTCACGAACTCAACTAGTCATCCTCATCGACATTGGTATTTGTACTTTCAATCACATTTTAATACTAATGAATTAATTTATTCAAGTTCAAATTGGGGACGGTGTCACAAACCGTGTCCCCAGTTTCTCTCCCACCAAAGATGACCTTGATTTCCATCCTGGGCTTCTTCCCTGGATTTCCTGAACCTTCGGCCTCCTCCCTGGACTGTATGTACACGTCATTCCGTGGTTGGGCATCTTGCTGATCATCCCTCTTCCAGCTCTTTGACCTCTTGTTTTGCTCATGGACGGGGCCTACTGCGTTTGGGTATTTATTTACATACTTACCCAGATGACCTTTCTAGATCAACTCCTCTGTGGCAATTTGGAGCGCCCGGTAGGTCTTGGTAGAGTGTCCCTTCCTTTTGTGATATTGGCAATACGCGTCATAGCGCCCCATATAAGCTTCTGGGTCTGTTGGAGGGGGGATCACATCCTTCTCATTGTGGAAGATGGTAGCAATGGAAAGGACGAGCGGTGTAAACCGGTTTGGTTTCGGAACATTTGTGGCCGCTGGGCTAGGACCCAGTCGATCGGCCAACTTCGTGGGCGCATGCGGTGCCCTCTGATCCCTGTTGTGAATTCCTCCTCCATACTTGCATGCCTCCGCGCCCGTTCTAGAACCTCCGCATAACTGGTCCCTGGATTTTTCTTCAAATCCCGGTATAATTCCCCAGTTTGAAGAGCATCGGTAAATAGCGTGATTGTTGTGCAATCCGTCAAGTTCTCTACCTTCAACGCCTCATCCCTCCACCTCGTTAAGAACTGGGTGATGGATTCTTTGGCCCCTGGCGGACACTGGTAAGATAGCTGAAGAGCCGCTTCGGGTTAACACTAGAAGCAAATTGTGCCAGGAACAAGGTAGACAGGGCGGCAAAACTCCCGATCGACTCAGGTTGCAGATGGCTGAACCATTCATGGGTAGGTCCTCAGAGAGTGCTAAAAAACAACCTGCAAATGGCCGCCTCTAAAGCTCCCAAGAGCATGAGCCCTCCCTGGTAGCTCATCAGGTGTGCATTGGGGTCTCCTACCCCATTATAAACTTGTCTGACCGAGGGCCTGCAATTCCTCTAGATCTCCATTTCCATTATTTACCTTGTAAAGGGAGATGTAATCCCCACACGGGGTGGTGGGGGCATCTGATTCTGCTGACGAGTGAGCTCGTTCACTTGTAATTGCAAGGCGGCCAACGCTGTTTCGTGGGCCGTTTGAGGCGGTGTTACTAAATCAACCCTTTCAGGGGTTCTTTCCGCTCGATGTCCTGCTGTCTCCTGACGTCTTCTTGTAAATCGATCTTTATCTCTTCTGATGTACTGGAAATTTTGCCCCGCTGGGTTTACCATTGGGGTTCGTTCCTTGTACTGAGCCTCCTGCCTGGTCACGAACGGGGTAAGATCCGAGGGTGTATGTTGTTGGTACCCGGGAGTATGGGCCCTTCGGTGCCCTCCTTGCCCCAACCGTGAGTAGACTGAAGCCCTTGTCGACTCTGTCTCCTCGGTATATGAATGCAGCGGCTGCATGCTATGAATTGGTGAGGGAGTTCAATACTCGGTGTCCCCGGTGTACGTAGAGTACCCATCGTCATGTTCACTAGCCATCCGACGCATAGTTTCGGTCATTTTCCTCATCACCTGAGGATCTCTTCTTGCATCTTCAGGGATTAGATGGGTGAGATCCCCATCATATTCATGACTCTGGCTACCGTTGGTGCGACTCTCCGTTGCCCAGGTTCCGGAGGACCTGCTGCCCCCTGCCCCCTGGAAGTACCATGGGTATTTTCAGATGTCATTCTGTCCATGCTGATGTGCGTAAACTTTGCTTAAATCAATGTTTTGCTTTGGAAACTTTTAGTAAACGTTTCCCACATGCGGCACTAATGTTGAGGTTTAATCCCGTAGATCCGAAAGCTCAACACACACTTTGGATATTAAGGATGTAGATATTATCTCGAGGGTAAAAGAAAATATTAAAACTGAATGATATTACTCAACAACCCACTTGTATTAAAGTAATTCGTTGATTACAGTTGAATTGCCCGGACGGTATGTCGGAACAATAACTAATACAAGGACAAGATTGCGTAATTTATGCTAGGCTCTAAGTATCAAAATGCTTACCCTTTACAATGAGATTAATGTCTCTATTTATACTAAAAAAGGGTATGTGGGGTGATGACGTGGCTGAATCCGACTGGCTGTTGTTCTCAAGTCACTTGGATACCCATGCTCCAACTTGCTAACACCATACTGCAACATTTAATGCACCTTGCCACTTGCCGACTACCCATTTGAGCAACGGTCTCTTGATATTGCCTGGTGTAGTTAATCTGATTTGAGTATACTACTTGACCCGTCTCCCGTTCGGGATATTCGGGATCTAACTATTGTGGACCCTCGATTCCCGTTCAGGCCACAGTTTCTTCATGAGCCCGTCGCCCTTCTGGGGCCTTCAATGATCTCTGGGGCCAGGTGGTGGGCCTTCATCCCAATAACCTAACAACGCTAAAAGATCCTAAACTCTAGCTCGCTCTCTCACACAACTGACCATCTTCGCCTTCTTATAAATTGGTTTACACTTATAGAAAGTGTCACACAATGTATTCTGTGTACTACCTCCGTTCCTTTAAGATTGATTAAAAAAATGTGATTCTATCTATTTTTATAATGTGAGACAAATTAATGAATGAACGAAAAAAGAAAAATGAGATAATAATGTTTTGGTGTTTAATAAACAATAGATATACTAAAAATCCACTTCAATAGAAAAGTGTGATTTGAGCCTTATCTAGGAATTGAACTAAAACGACGACGTTTTTGTCGTGAGAACTGAGGCGCTGAGATGCCGTTCTTGTACGAGTTTATAGAAAAAAGAGTACCTACCTGCGTCACTCTTTCATCTGAATTTCACGTCAAAATCATTCTATCCACAACCATGGCTACATTCCTAGAAATCCGGCCGAGCTTTCTCATCATCATCCTGCTCTTTGCCGTCGGCGCTTCCGTGTGGTCGTCGGAGCCCACTGTCTACGATATTTTGACCAAGTACAGCCTACCGATCGGCCTCTTGCCGGACTCGGTAACTTCCTACACGCTCTCCGACGACGGCGCCTTCGAGGTATCCCTCAAAAAGCCTTGCTACGTGCAGTTTGATTACTTGGTGTACTACGAGAAGAAGATTACTGGGAAATTGAGCGTCGGATCGATCTCCGACTTGAAGGGGATTCAAGTAAAAAAACTGTTCTGGTTCAATGTGGACGCGATTAAAGTTGACCTGCCCCCGTCCGGTAGTATATATTTTCAGGTTGGAATTATTAACAAGGAACTCGATGCGGGTCAGTTCGAGACCGTCCACACTTGCCAGGACAAAGCCTTGGCCGCCTGTGCAGCGTCTCCAAGGAAAATTGTTCAGGTAATTGTGCTCTCTCTAATCCGTCTTCTTCGAACTGATTTTTTTTTGCATATTATCGATGTATCTTAGGCATATTTTATATGATAATGATCATTTGCTATTTCAATTTTGGTAATCCTCATAGCCATCATATAAGAATAAAGAGTTGGCAAGTTCAGGATAGATACAAGTCCACATTTCATATAGGTATTGAAGGAGTAAGTTAGGAACATATATATTTACAATATAAACAGGAGAAAACGGGGATTAAACATGACACAATTATTCAAATAGTAGTGTAACATGACACATTTATTCAAATAGGAGTGTGATTGTTTCTTCCCACCAAAATAGCACTCATTCGCTCTTATGTTAGGAAGTCATTATTGTTTTATTCATTTAATAGGACTAAATAAATCCAGTTTTAGGAATAAAACATGCGTAGTCCTATTTAGAATTTTGTTCATGTTTTATTCCTGTTTTGAGCGATATCTTAATGAATAAAATAGTCCTCCTAAAAAATACGGAGTAGCAGTCCTGCAAGCTACATCTGCCAACTACCTGAACTTGTTATATCTTAGTGATATCAGTCAATCACCCCAAGATACTAGGCGTGGTTCAGTACAATCTTAAAGGAAAGAAGACTTGCTATATAATTGGATCCAAATAACAATAAAAGGAACGATTTGTTATTAGGAATATTAATTTTGGTAATATCTATTACCTTGTTTACATACTTGAACAAGGCTATAAATTAGAGTAGCTTTCAGAGAATAGGCATAAGATTGTTTACTATATGCAGCATCTCTGAGGGAAAGTCAATCTTACTGGATAGTTCCTTCTAAAGGCCTCTTATATTTGCTCTTTTAAGATTAAAGGACTAAAGTTTGGAATATGACTTTAGAATATGCTTCAAGGATTGGTATTAAACACTGGCAACCTACAAGCCTAGGTAACCAACCATGCCAGTGATGCAGTGATGCCTCGTCCTGCCAGTGTGAAGACCTAACCTAACTGCCATATCTGTCCCAGTTTGGCTTCACTGGGATGAGATGGACAAAGAAGTAGAGGCAGAGGTGTAGCTAAAACCATCAATGACAAGCTCTTATTAGACATGTAGACTCATCTAGCCAACTTCCTGTCAAATAATCAATAACAGGTTATTCTGCTTCAAACTGACTGTCCATGGATGTCTAAATTATTGGAACAATTCCGCTGTAAAGCAGCAGGAGGGCACTCTGGTGCATTTTTGAGTTAGAAGAGCATCACAGCAAGTGTGCACTGGAATGGCATAATAAAGTGGGTCCAATTGCTTAATGTGCTATAAGAATAAGTATGATACTCGAGCACTTCCAGGTCTCCTACAAACCTTACACATTCTTCGTGGCAGCAATCAAGAATAATCGAGATTAGCTTGATTTTGGGGATCCAATCAACAATAAAAGGAATAGCTTGTTATCAGGAGTAATTGATTTCAATAATCATCTTTTTACCTTTTTAACATACTTTTACTAGGCTATAAATCAAATGTCAATAATACAATATGCATCAATTTGGTTTTACTTTTTACAATATTCAGCGTGACTGAGAGCAAATTTGTCCTGCTGGAGAGCTACTTTTGAAGGCCTCTTGTATTTTACTTTCTATTATAAAAATATTCCAGTCTTCGGGTTTTGTCCTCCATAACACACACACACACACCATATTTATCACTAGTCTCTGCATAGACTGTTCATTCAATCTGGGTTGATGATGCATGCTACAATATAATATTATGGAAAGATAAAAAGAGAAATCAAGTAGAATATGAGGAGTAATAGCTAATTGATTTGCTTGATTGAGTTTATTATGATTTGATTTTAATACCTTGATTATTTAATCTATTCTAGGAAGTAATTTTCTAGGATTTCCCTCCTCTTGTTCTCTGCATGTAATCCCTCTTATAAAAGGGAGCTTTGTTATGCTAATAAAATATCGAAGAAAAATTAAGAAGAAAATCAAGGAGAAGGAAAACTCCCCAAATTTCCACAGCTCCCTATCCATTTATCATATTTATTTCATTCCCGTGACTTAAAGAATCCCGGTACATAACATTTTGGTTCCGTTGCCGGCGTCATGGGGAATTTCACACTTCCTGCTGATCAGTACATGCTCCTCTCAGAGATACAGAAGGAGTTACACAAACTGATAAGCGAAGGGCATCTTCACAATCTGCAAAATGCAGTGGAAACAGTGCAACAAGCACTGCCACCATTAAAGGAGTTGCTGCAGAAACTCTCTAACCATATTGCCAACCTTTCCGAATCAGTGGACTCCTTGGGAAGAGATGAATTTCTGCCTCAACCGCCGTCAGCGTTGCTTCCAATCCAACACAGCATCTTCTAGAGCCAACGCTGTCTGCAACACCCATATTGCAGACTGCCCTGCCTGATAAACTACCCAAAACAAACTTCTTGAACTTCCCCGATCCATTTTGGTCCACTAAGCCTGTCCAAGTTTGCCATTGTATTCCAATGGAATTTTTACTGGACGATGATCACCTTGGCCATTGTCCACCACTAAGAGTGACTTTCAATCTTCTTCAAGAATACAAGGATCACTGGCACTTTTTGTTGGTACAGTCATTCCAAATCCAGTTCAAGTTTTCAAGCTTGAGGGCAAGCTTGATTTTCCAGGAGGGGTGTTATGATGCATGCTACAATATAATATTATGGAAAGATAAAAAGAGCAATCAAGTAGAATATGAGGAGTAATAGCTAATTGATTTGCTTCATTGAGTTTATTATGATTTGATTTTAATACCTTGATTATTTAATCTATTTTAGGAAGTGATTTTCTAGGATTTCCCTCCTCTTGTTCTCTGCATGTAATCCCTCTTATAAAAGGGAGCTTTGTTATGCTAATAAAAGATCGAAGAAAAATTAAGAAGAAAATCAAGGAGAAGGAAAACTCCCCAAATTCACAGCTCCCTATCCATTTATCATTTTTATTTCATTCCCGTGACGTAAAGAATCCCGGTACATAACAGTTGATCCGTATAGAGAAACAATTTTGGCTATATGTCCAGAAAAATAGGTTGAGTTGCATACTGTACATATAACAATGATGTCATAAGAAAGGACATTATGAGCCGGAGAGTTGTAGAGGAAATGACATAAGAAATGAATGATGTGGGGAGATATAGCTAAATAGCCAATCCCACCTGCAGGGGAAAGGCCTAGTTTTGTTAAGAAAGAAAAGCTCTTTTTTTCTGTGTCTTTGTTAGGATAACTATTGAAATATTTCTGGCACTATAAAGAATGGAAAAGAACCAAATTTATGCCCATCTGCATCTCTTCACTCCAATTCCATGTTCTTTTCAATGATCTTTTCCCTGGGCTAACCTTTCTGTGTCATGGACATTTCAGCCAACAGTGGTGGATGATTTGCGAATGCTGCTTACAGAGTAAAGAATCAAATTTATGCTTCGCAGCTAAAGATTGTCGAAAGAGGTGTGATATTGCTCGGCTATGTGCTAAACTTTTTTATTTTTTCGGTCTCAGTGAACTGGTTTTACTCTTTGCCAGGACATAGCTATGGGTTATGGTCAAGACTATTGTGTTAGACTTTGTGTATGTATAATAATTGTATATGGAAAGGTGCAGACATGTTTTACCAAGCTGTGCTTTTGTGATATCTTCCTCTCTATTGGGGTAGTGAGGAAGATATGTAGAAGACTAGAAGTACAACTTCAGTGCTGAGCACCGTGTTGATATACAAGTTGGGCTTTTAATATATATCACTGCGTATGCATATGACAATATCTATGTTAACATTGTATGATGTAGTTGTAATGTTAACGAAATATGTTAAGTTGTAATGACATTGACAGTGTTCCTATTATGTTGATCAATGTTTAGTTGTAATATGTTTATTATGTTATACTATGTTTAGATAATATCCAGCTCTAAATCCTCTAATTAAGTGTCTTTTGTTTCAACCTTTAGTTGGAGTTGAACTAAAATTTGAGAATATAAATTCACTCTCATTTCCCATGATTTTGAGGGTTCTGAAAGTGGACCGAATGGAGGTAATTGATAACTTTGGTTTAAGTCTTTAAGATATCAAATGTCTCTCAAGTCTATTGGAGCAGAGGAAATTAATTATTTAGGGAAACTTATTAAAATAGGAGTAAAAATGTTCTGAAATTTCAAAATAAGACTCATATATTTGTTTCGCAAACAGAAGTAATCATTGTCAAACTTGAAAAGTATTTTCATGTTTAAAATTCTGTAATGCCAAAACATTATAGTAATTACTTTTATTTAGGGAATAAAAACATGGTTGTTCTATTTTGGAATTCACAAATATTTTTACTCTTATTTAAAATAATTTTTTAACGGGGAAAAGATCAAATATACCCTTAAAGTATAAGAGCAACTTTAACCGGACGATGTGCACATTAAAAAACACTGCTACGTCATTCAATTTAACATTTTTGATAAAATATTCGTCTCCAACGCAGTGAGTTTAACTTCCTGTGATGCTGAGTTGTTAAATATTTATTTAGACATTGTCGACACCACCGTCTTCTCACAACAGTTCCTTCACATGATGACTCGGCCAAAACCGCAAAAATTATCCACGAACTCATCCCGGGAAAAACCATATGCCCACCAAAATATTCATTCACCCCTTTCATTCACCTTCCCAATTTGGAGTAAAGCTTCCCCATTTGGAGTAAAGCTGCTGGGAGTCCCAGTAAAACTGCCGCAGAGACATGGTAACATATTTTTCTTCTTCAAAGATTTAATTTGTGGTTAGGTATTTCGATTCCTTCCATTTCCGTATATTTCCTTTTTCAGTTCAAATGATTAATGGATTAAGGGGTAAAAGGTCTAATCAATGAAGTCATCCTAAGTTCGAAGGTTTTCACCTAGAAGGTTTGGGAATGGTATATACTCGAGTGGTACAGAATAAGGCATAGACCTCATGAATTCTTAAAAACTTCAACACATAAACCAGATGCTTTTACAGCTTTTGTCTGGGGATCAATAGTGACCTTCTCAAATTGCTCTAGTCCTCCTTTAACAAGAACTCCTACCCTCAACTTTAATTCACCTGTAGGAATCTCTCAGCCTTTAGGAACAGCAACGGACTGACCTGGCCATAAGATTGCACCGAGATCATTTTTCTTAGTAGAGTAAAGTGATGTACTGTTCGGGTTTGGTTGATTCGAAATCCCATACTTTTATGTCCAGAACCTGATCCCCTTCTCTCTGTCTATCACATTCATTATCTCAAAAGTCTGCCCTATCTTAGGTTCATAAGTTCCCTAAATTAGCTACTTTTTAGCCGTCACTGCTTTTTATAGCTGGGGAGATTGATAATGAGATCTCCAGTCAAACTCGCTAGTTGGGGCGGAAATGCAAAAATGGTGATGTTCAAAGTCACTAATGTTGATCAAGCCGTTTGCAAGGCAGAAGCCTGTAACTTATGTTCAAAGTCACTTCTTGGAATTACAATCATTGCTTAGTAGTTTTATCGATGGAGTAACAATGGTTGGAATTACATATGGGGTCATTGGCTTTGTATTTTTTCTCCCAAAACACCAACACTAGTCATTTAGATGTCTGGTGGAGCTTTATTTGGGCATTTTGATAAAACTTTAAATGCTTAAAACACTGAATTAAGAAATTGTTTATAGTTTCTTTTTTATTACTGTCTTACCTAAATGCTCTCTGACACATCTCCCCCCTCCCTTTAAATAGTTTTGCCAAAAGAATTATAGAAACTGCTATTTTTCTATCAATTTAAAGCAAAGGTGTATTTAACTCACATCCAAACAGTCAAACACTCGACAAAAGTTTTTTCAACTACATGGAACTTGTACGTTAAACCAGAATGTGTAAAAGATGCTGATTTACTAATTGGAAACAAACAAATTATGAGTTAAGCCAGGAAATAATGACAGATTTTTCAAGTTCAAGTGACATGGTATACCATAACTTCAAGTGACATGTATACTTAACGAGAAAACAAGTTAATTTGTCTAACTTAAATACCATATGATACACTCTGAGTTATGGTATACTCATAACTTCAACTTGAACTTACACAAGATCAATCCATTTACTAATTTCACAATTTTCCTGGTTTAATAATGACATAGTATACATTTATGGGAATGTGTATACTATGTCAACTACAGCTCTCAGAATATAGCAGTGCCAAGAACAAAACATGGAAGAAAATATTAATACAAGAAGTGAATTTGAACATGTTCAAAAGTGAATTATGTGTTTATAAGTAGCTTTTAATATGTTTGGCACAGAGAAATGTTAATGTTGTGGTATTAGAATTTGATGATAGAGTTGATGATACACTTTCTTTTCAAGAAAAATAAATAAAAAATAAGAGACCTCGAGAAATGATATACTAACTAGATTTTGTTTTCAATGAAGTTCAAATTTTTTATTTCATTCCCCTGATCAAATCAGCTTTTCATTCCCGTGATCAAATCCCCATATTTGAAGTTATGATAGTTTACATTGATATATAACAATTTGTTGACTTATAGCTACATTATGCTTACCTCTTTATTATGCAGATATATAAAGAAATGGATTCACAAGACCCTGAGACCTTCTCTTCTTCTCAGCACCAGCACCAGTATACTCACCCAATACCAGCTCAACACTCAAGCCAATCACTTCACTCAATCCCACTAGCTTATAACTTCAACCAAAGCAATGGAATGTATCCTTATTATGTTGATCAATATGGATCTAAAATACCATTCCAAAGTCTATTGAATTCTCCAATATTGAATACTCCAATAGCAAATGCTCATTCTGAGAGTTCAACAAAAAGACTAAAAAAGAAAGGCATTGAAAGAGGGATAGGATCTGAAGCTGCAATTATGAGAAAAGAATGGACCAAAGAAGAAGATGTAGCATTGACGACAGCGTGGCTACATGTATCAATGGATGCAGACATTGGAAATAATCAAAAAAGTACTGCTATGTGGGTGAGAGAATTGAAGAAGTCTTTAAGGAGAACATGGGGGCCAGATGCAATCCTCCTAGAAACAACAACAGCTTGCAATGTCATTGGGGAAAAATTCAAATAGCGGTGAATAAATTCATTGGGCATTACGAGCGATTGGATAGACACCCGCAAAGTGGCACAAACGTGGATGATTTGGTAAGAATGTTACATTTTGAGCTTGCAGTTTTTGTTCTTGTATAATTTCAACCTAATAATGACTTTCAGTATTCCAGTATGTGGTAATGCTTTAAGACTATTGTTATTGCTTGAATATCTAGTATGCACTAATTCTGTTTTTAGACTTTGATATTAGAATAAAGTCATGACAGAATAAAGTCATGAGATTGTCAAAGTAAAACTCCTATTTCCAGTGAAAACTCTTATAAAAAATTTGCAATGTGACTGTAGGTGTAAAAATTAAAAGCTTATACAACAGGCTTATTTTCTTCTAGTCAGTGTAAAATTAAAAAGCTTCTATTTCTTTAATTTATAAAACTGCTTGTTATTGAAGGTGAGCTAAATTATAGATTTCATTTGTATGTTTTAGATAAATAAGGTGGTGGGATCGTATGAAGACATTCAAGGAAGCCCATTCAAGTATCTTCATTGTTGGGAAGTAATGATAAAAAATCCAAAATGGTACTCACAACATGTGAAGCCGCCTAAAACAAATAAAAAAACTGTTGATATCTCCAACTCACCGGTAGTGAAAACAATATTAAAATTTAATGATACTCCTAAAACAAATAAGTAAACTTCATAGTGAAAACAATATTAAAATTTAATCATGTGTTTCATTGTAACACATATGTTAACACTTTCAATAATAAGAGGGAGCATTGGGCAAAAATAGATGTATTTTAAAATTTTATTTTTTCAATTTCCAAATTCAATATACAATTTATTTTTGGTATTTTTTAAAATTTATTTTATTTATTTAAATTCAATAAGGCTAATTTGTTCCTTTGCAAGAACATTAGGGGTATTCTTGCACCTTTTAAAACTTCAAGGGTGCACCTGCACATATAATTCAAGGGTATGTTTGCTCATTCTCCACTTTTTTATTATTTACAATGGTTTATTGAGATTCATAGTAAATATAGTAGAATGAGAATATATTTACTGCACAGACACATTGTTCACCTCGTTTAGTCCTTCTAAGAGCTAATGATCTAACCCGTTTTGGTGTTGTTTTCATAATGATATCATGTCTTCCATCTGCCGGCAAAATATATGATACAGCCGGTTCTACGATGTTCACCATACAACCGAGTATTTTTGTTATTAACTTAAACGTACAGGGTAAAAGTTAGATCGATTAGAATAGCTACGTCTCAAAAACTGGAGCCCGTGGTTGCCGACCGTTGTAAAGATTGTAATGCTGTTTGGTCCGATGTGCAGAAAGAAAAAAAAAATGAAGAAGACAAGTCGCAGAAGCCATGTAAGAATGAACAATGATGCCTTCTTCCATCTTCTATAAAAATCCCCTTTTCATTTTTCAAGAACCAAAGACTAAATTATTTTCAATATAATTTTATAAGGAGTTTTTTTCATTGTTGTATACTTCCTCCGTTCTTTGTTAACTGTCTCGCATTCCTTTTTGACGTTTTTTAGTATTATTTGTCTCTTTTTCTATTTTAGGAAAGTTTTTGATAAAATATCTCCACTTTTATTATTTGTCTCTTTTTCTATTTTAGGAAAGTTTTTGATAAAATATCTCCACTTTTATTACTTTTACCCCTCTTACTTTTTACAAACTACTTTCTCTTTCCTACTTTATCATAACTTTACTTTACTTAATATACTCTTTTTCCTACTTTATCATCACTTATTTACTTTATCACCACTTTACTCTTTTTAATATACCCTATTTCCTACTTTATCATTTACCCTACACACTCTACATTTACCCTACTATTTTTCTATTAAAACCCGTGCCCAAGGTCAGCGGGACAGATAATAAAGAACGGAGGGAGTATAATGATAGTTTTATAAATTCTTAATAATGAATTTACTAGATGCAAATATTATAGAAAAGAGTTTATGTTATATTCGAATGAGTATAATGATTAAAAGAAATGAACAAACACAAAGAAATATTATTTGAGCACATCAGAATTAAAATGAGCTGTTGAATTTTCGATGCTCATTTGTAAGTCATGTGTGATCTGGTAATGATTTTATGCTCATTTTAAAATGTGATATCATTGCATATTTCAGAAGTATCATACTCGGATATCCTCTCATCCTATTTTACATGTCTTACTTTCCTTTTTGGGTTGTCCCAAAATAAGTGTCTTATTTTCTCTTATGGAAAGAAATGTGTGGTCTATAACATTTACTTTGTTATACTCATATCTCAACCACAACTTTTACTTTTCAACTACCCTATTAATAATCGTGCCAAGTCAAAGTGAGACACATAAAATGAAAATCTAATGTAATACTACATCAATGTAATAAATTTTTACAAAAGAAAAAAAAACTAATAATATAAGTGAATATATTGTAAATATGATTTTGAAATCATCATATTACATTAGATTCGTATAAGAATTGATTATAGACACGAGATCAAAGATTGTGATACTCGATTATATGCTTCTAATTAAGGGTGGGATCGGTTGAGTCTGGTTCAGGTTTTTGCTAAACTCGGAAATTATCCATAAGATCTCGAGTTATGAAAATTAGGAACCAAAACAAAGCCCGTTATATTTGGTCCGGGTCAAGTTTTTGGTAGCCGAGGTTCGGTCCGTGTTGAGCCGGTTAAAGCCGGGACGTGAAATCATCTCATTTTTCTTTTATATTTAAAACCTATTTTCAAATAAAATTAATCAAAACTACAAACTGCAAATAATAAGACAAATATTAGTCTCCAAAATCACCAACAATTCAAATTCAAAGAGGATAATTATCTTAATATTTTGTTTAAGATGCATCATCATCATGATCATCATCATTAATCATCATCATTATCCCAGTGCCGCAAAAGCTTCCCACCTACGGTTGGATGTACGCATTCTTACCCTTGTACTAAAGCACTTAGGGACTGTTTCTGAATGACCTATAGTGAAAATCGCGTCAAAAATTGCATGGACTGACTGTTGCTTCATAACAAAGAAACACTGACAGTTTAGTGAGCCATTTTGCTCAATTCCATCATATTCAGAAGCCAAAAAATAGTGAGTCTTTATTTAAGATGCATATAAATAAATAATACTTAGTTTAAGTTTTCTTGAAATATTACTAAATCAGGAGAGAGATCTGAAGAAAAGACATCAGAGGGGCGGCTTAGCGAGCTGGAAGAGACTGGAGGAGGGGCGGTTGAAATTAAATACAGATGCTTTAGTCTTAGCTGATAATGTGTGCGGATTAGGATGAGTTGTTTGAGAAGCGGAGGTTTGTCCGGAGTAGGTGGAGTCAACAGATGTAGAATAAGATGATCTTCAAATTGTAACAAGCATTAGTTGTAGTACACATGACTCATTAGTGGGGTTGATTATTGCAGATATAAGTGATATCGCTTCTAGTTTTACTAGTATTTCATTTTCTCACGTGAATCGGTCTGCGAATCGGGTAGCTGACCTTCCAAGGGCTGATATTTTCTATGTCTGATCGTTATATTTGGCTTTATAATTATCCTTATTGTATTATGCCTTCTTTGGAACATCATTTTATTAATAATAATGAACTATTTTTATTTCAAAAAAAATATTACTACCTCCGTCCCTTAAAACTTTGCCAAAGTTGACCGGCACGGAGAATAATAAAGTAAAAACTGTGTGGTTGAGATTTGTGCAGAGGAGAGAGAAATAAGAGAAACCACAAATAATTGATTAAAAGGGAAAGTGGCAAAGTTTTTTGGGACGTCCCAAAAAGGAAAGATGGCAAAGTTTTAAGGAACGGAGGGAGTACTAATTAAATAAAATTTATTGATAAAAGTGTGACTAAAGTTAGTATCATATTTTCATGATCATTATTACGGTATACAAAATTGAACATGTTTGTTGTCACTAAATGTTACCAAATCATTTTTTCATCGATTATAATCAAATATTAGGACTTATTTATAAATTAGATTTGTATACAATATTGATTTATATTAAAGTTTATTATTTCGAGTTTTTATCGGTTTGGGTTGGGTTATAGATTTTAGAGCCCGTTTATGAGCCCAAATATTCGGGTTCAGTCCGGGTTTTTATTATCCGGGCCGGTTAAAAAGAAAAAACCTGGACCGGGAACATCATCCGGGCCAGGTCAGGGTCGATTTTTGGGTTTCGGTCCGGGTTTAGACGAGTTCTGATGCTCAATGAAAATGTCATGAAATTATGCTTATTTTAAAATGTCATAACAAAATTTACAATTTTTATATCAATGCTCATTTTATAAGTTACATATGCTCATTTGGTATTGATATTATGCTCATTTTAAAATGTCATATTGATGCTTATTTCAAAAGTATCATATTACATTATATTAGATTCACATATTGAAATTAATTAGAATTGATCATTGACATAATCTAAGAAATTTTTATAAAAGAAAAAAATAATAAAAAGAAAGTGAACTAGTAATTACGAAGAGAATCATTTTTCCCACAAAAATGTTTGTTTGTGATAAATAATTCTCTTCACAAATGAAAAAATTGTACATGAACCATGCTTGTTAAAAATTTGTCTTCGTTATATCATTGCTTTTGTCAATCTTTGAACCGTTAGTCATAGTGGGTACGTCTTGGCTATCATTACTAATTGACATTTATCGTATCTTAGAAAAAGATGACACCTCATTCCCGAAGGTCCCTCAACACCGATCATACAGCTAATTGGGAAGATGTAAGTTAAACTTTAATCACAAGTTGTAGATAATATGTTACATTACATCATATCTTATGTTTGATCGGTAGAAGTCATGAGATTTTATTTTATGAAACATCCTAATCATAATTTAGTACAATGTTGTTTCGAGCATTAGGGGTGGGCATAAAAAACCGTAACCGTATAACCGCGCCTAAAAACCGGAAAACCGCCGTTTTTCCCGGTTAACCGAACCGCAATTTTTTAAATCCACGGTACGGTTAACCAACCGTGAGAATAAACGGTTCACGGTACGGTTACGGTTTTAGAAATATGTTATTATCGGTTAACCAATAACCAGTATGTTCATGTCTGGTCATGAACTTCACGTTCTCAGAGAACTTGGAAAGATAAATATGTATCCAACACATCTAGATACATCAATTCTAATAAACATGTGAAGAAACCAAATTCTGTTTGTCACTATAGAATTTTTAATTTCATATTATTAATAATTAGTCAAAGCTTTTGTGAGTTATAATTAATTAGCCCATTCTGCAATCGTGAGACTTGAACATGTGTATTCTTTTTTTGAAGCAATTGAACACGTTTATTCTTATTAAGTGTATTTTATCTTTTTCTGTATTCCACTCTCAAAATTTATTTTTCTCTTGTTTTGACTTAATTAATATAGAAAGAACATGGTGTGTGTATATATTTAATCAATGGTTTGATGGTTTTTTGTTAACCGGTTTGTGGTTAACCGATACTCGGTTAACCGAAGCTTTGGTTAACCGATACTCGGTTAACCGAAGTAATAGGTTTCTCGGTTAACCGGAAAGTTGGTTAACCAAAACACGGTTAACCAACCACGCCCACCCCTATCGAGCACCACTGCTCAATCTACTAAAGGGCTATCACAACAAGTTTAAATAATGCATATAATTAGTGTGAGCTTGAGTTTTGCAAAGATGATAGTGTAGTTGTTTCATACTTTATTCTTTCTATAGTTTCAAATGTACTCTAACTCATTTAAAAATTAAAATTCAAGTTTGTTAAGGTACAACTTCTATATATTCCTGTAATGTATCTAATTCATAAAATTAGATTAAAGCATTCAACATCTCATTCCAGATATCAGGAAGACCAGGGAGGCACCAATGACTGCAATCATATCCACTCCCTTTTACACGTGGATTTTGATTTGGGCCCACATCCATATTATAAATGGATGGATGTGCATCTCTTCTAAAGAAAGACATAGTTGTAATGTCATGTACATACACCGGAAAGCTCATCCTTCTTACCACCTCTTTTAGCACCAGCATTGGTTGTGCTTCATATGGATGACTCAAGTGATCCAACGGTTCACTTTGGTTTAAGCATTTCAAATCAGCCCCTCTACAACAACAAATGTATCAAAATAACAATCTAATTATCTTTCAGTCATATAATAATCTTGCATTTGGTAGGATATAATGTAATGTTACAAAGCATGGAAACTCTTGGGAAAGATTGCGTTTTTCGTTTTGGGAACTCCACAGAAACTCTTCGGAAACTCTCCAAATAGTTTTATTTTTACTAAAAGATTACGTTTCCCGTTTTCCATTTCCCCAAAATTTTTACGTTTCCGTGCAACATAGATGTAATGTAATATACTTACATACCGAAATAGAAATTTAATCTAGTTCTTTATATATTTTTATCGAATGTGAAATTATTTGATTGAAATACCTATTATGCCTAGGTGACATGCTTCTAAAGAAGACCATAGTTGCTTTTGGATCGAGATTTGAGTCGACCCATCTTGCCCATGTCATGAGTCCTTTCTCATATGCAACCATGTTATCCATGTATCTGTAAAAACTACTTCCCTCCATAATATAGCTCCATCTGCACATTTAAGTTTGAGGTGCAAGTATTTGAATAGTTTGAGTTTCAAATCATAGTGATACATGGAAAAGGGTGAAACAAAACATTCTACAGCCATGCAATAAGTATTTCTTTCAAAATGAACATTCTAAATATGTTGTATATGTTCCATAAATGTATCAAATTTGAATATTTATATCTGATGATAGGTCATGTGTGTGAAATTGAGTTAACATGTTAATTCTGTGTGTGATTTCAAAAAGTGAAAATTTATACTTCCTCCGTTCTTTAATAAATGCAACGGTCAACATTTCTCATTTGTCGAGACACAACTTTGACCATTAATTTATATAATTTTGTATTAGTAAAAAAATTAAAAACAAAATAGATTTTGAAAATTTACAATGATACAAGTTTAACAATTTTTTTATAAAAATATTAATGCATTAATAAATAAAATCAGTCAAAGTACAAAATGTGAACAATGTAAAATTCAACATGTTGCATTTATTTAAGAACGGATGTAGTATTATTTACTCTAGTGAGCAGAAATATATATTGAAGTGTTTGGATGGAAATGTAGAAATACTTCTAAGTGTTCTAAATTGCTCCTAAAAGCAATTTTCAAAAACTGGGGAGACCAGTTTCTGAAAAAATAATTCTGATTCACCGCTTTTAAAAAAAGAAGCAGAATCAATTTCAAACACCCCTATAATAAATTTGATGTTAAATTATCTTACAACTTATCTCCGAAAATTAATAAGAATTTTTTATTCTCATCATTGAAATATGATGCTCTACTCTGTATATATTTAACATTTCTTGATGCATGTAATATGTTCTTCATGTTTACTATCATTCACTTAAACGTAATAAAAACTAATTTTATCATTTTTCTTCCCTACATATTATAACTCATAAAACTTACAATGGCTTATTTTGAGAACTAGTCCACCAATGAGCGGAATCAAACACAAGCACATCCACACCCCTCCAATACTTCGCGTTATCCTCAATCAAATCCAAGTGAAGTATTTTCTTGTCCTCTACACCTTGTCTTAGTTCCACTAGGAATGGAGCCCAACAAAACACAATAGATGTCTCATAGTCCTACATACCAACATTTTCAATTACTTTAACTTTGAATATATCTTCATATTAAAAGACTATTTCCCATTTCCATCATTAGCAATGGAGTCAAAGTCTCACTATTTTTTTTCTTCGTAATATGATGAAATAAAGCAAAATGGGTCGCTAAACTGTTTGCGCTTCTTTGTTATGAAGCAGCAGTTAGTTCATGCAACTTTCGACGTGATTTTAACTATGGGTCATCCAAAAATAGTCTCCTTGTGTTTTAGAACAGGAGTAAGACTGCGTACATCCGACCCCCCTTACTTCACCATAGGTGGGAGCCTTTGCGCAATGAAGTATGAAACACACACACATATATATAAATATGATATTGTAATATAATTGATCAAAAACATGGATCGAGTGAGAGTCATTGCTCCATAAAATCGGAATTAAAAGTAATTGAACTTTGAAACCTTACATATATGTACATCATTTGTGTATATTTTATGGTGTGAATATTTCTATTTGATTTTACATTGAAGTAAGAAATGGAATGTATATTCTTATGAATTGCATCTATATTCGTCTTAGTTGTAGTATATACTTATCATACATTTATATTCATCCAAACGAGAAAAGTAGCCTTACCACAGCATTGAAAGACATGGTTGTGCCATTGTAAGTGACTGTTTTTCTGGTACTAGGTATAACTGATTGTAGTATGCAAACCAAAGATTCCCATTGATTCCTCATTATAGAATCACCAATAAGCATTATTTTCTTCTTCCTCATCCTCCCCAAAAAATCCAATGCATCAAACCTATAATAACGAAAATGTACATATATACAGTAGGCACACAAGTTCTGTGAGATCACCTCACGATGAGAGAATTAAGAGTGATAATACCTTAATACTAGCTACTTCAATTCTATGCAAAATGATAATACCAATTTATTACTATTCACCAGTCATCGTAATTTACTTTAGTTTTGATTCTAATAGCAAATTTTTGCTAAGAAGAATATAAATTTCACAAAACAAATCTAATATACGGGTATGTTTGGAACAACTAGCTGAAATAAGTCTCGACCTTCTAGCTTTGTACCAAACAGCTATTCAATTCAATACAAAAAACAATCAATTAATATAAATTCTTGCACAAGTTTTCCATAGTGTAGTAAAATTTTCATTTTTTTCATAATGTCAAGCACATTATTTTCTAAATCTTGGCATTGTGTTTGACATTAATTGTCAACCGAATTTGTTCATTGAGAGGTTCACATGACGTTTACGATGCGATGTTTGACTGTACATTAAGTTAATCAATCATCGCTGAGAATTAGATTATTTTTAGTAAATAAAAATTAAATATTCAAAAACTATATTTAAATCTTATAAAGTCACAAAAGAAAAATCCAAATTTGATAAATGTCGAATACATAAAGTAAAAGTTTAAGGATAATTTAAGTTGATTGGAGAATAGTGGACGAGAAACTTTATACTCCCTCTGTCCCGTTGGAATGTTCCTGTTCACTATTCATTGGTCAACTTAGGTCACTCCTAATCTTTTACTTTATATATCATTTTTTATCAAATTGAACTTTTCTTGATCAGACTTTGTAGCGGTTTTAATGTAGTTTCTGAATATGTAAATTTTATTTACTAAAAATAAGCGAAGTGTGAACAGGGATCGAGTTTCTTTATCGTCAGTCAATCATCGTAAATCGAACGGGAACATTCCAACGGGACGGATGGAGTATAAAATAGAGTTAGGTAGTAACAAAAAATCATATTTCAAAGTTCCAAAAGATTCATGCATATATGCATCATTACCTTGGAATAGAGCAAGCATCGGGCTTCCACCGCCACTGCTCGTAGCCGGAATCCGGGCGGCCGTTCTGAGTGCATCTGACCGCCGTGCTTAGGTACGGGCAGCGCCTAGAGTCGTAGAGAGGCCGGTATGATCCATCGAAAACCCATTTTCCGGCCGCAAAGTTACAGCTCTTGAGGAACGAGTTTTGAGCGGCGGTGATGGTTTCTTCATGGTCTAGCCATGAAAGCTCTTCTTCTGTGCAGAAGATTTGTAAGGAGAGAAGCAGAAGACAAGAGAAAAAGAGAAGACAGTGCGGCGTTGATCTGCTGGGAATTTTAGCCATTGATGCATCCAAGTTTGGAACATAATTTTCTATGTATATACACGTGGGTTCTTAACTTGTGTCAAGAGTTAACGTTGTTGACACTTGATTCCTATATGCATTTCGTATGGTTGCTATAGGGTAGTGCATGGGACTGCTAGCCAACTATGTAAGCCTTATACTCCCTCCCGTTCGGAAAGGTTTTTACACTTTCCATTTTTAGCAGTACCAGAAAGATCTTTAGACTTCCTTATTTGCCTTATTAATTTGGCAAATAAATCTACACAAAACAGTGTCAAACAGTGCCAAACAGTGTACTCTACACTAAAGTCAAATTTATTTCCTTAAAAACTGTGAAGTCAAAGTGTCAAGATCTTTTGGAACCGGATGGAGTATTACCTTCCTCTTAAAATTCTTCTCAGTTTAATTTGAATTGGAATTTAAGAAAGTACAGAAAAAGTGATCGGGTAAAAAAAGGAAATTAAACGAGACAATTTTTTTGGAACATTCCGCGTAAGAGGGAAGAATTTTAATTAAAAGATAGAGGGAATAATTATTTTGATATATAAATATATTCAGTCAAATTTAACATCATTGGCTTGAAAATCAAAATTGACTACATAGATCCAAAAGGTGGAATCTCCCACCCTCGGAGTCCCCCACACCCTGACCCGACAGGGCACGTGGAAGGATGTAAATCACGGTGACTCAGTCAGCGAAGTGGCAGTAGGTCCATATACCCGTGCGCGCCAGATCCAGCCAACTGAGCTGGATTTGAAGCTTGGTCCCTTGATCCAAATTACACACCACTCAACCAACTGAGCTACCCATGCGGGTAAAAAAATTGACTAGCTAGAAAGTTATCGAGGGAGTACTTTATAATAGTGAAAGATGCATAAAAATGTGAATCACTAGTAAAAAACTGGCTTACAGTGACACTTTTATAGTGACACTTTGTGACTTAATACCACTAGTAACATAAAAGTGTCACTATTTTCTATTAACATCACTTAGTGACACTCTACATTTTTTACGGGTATAATTTAACGCGCTTAACTATTTGGGCCGCGGGCCTGCATACGGAGTAACAAGACTTCAAGGTTTTTCTCTCTCCCTCTCAGACTTCTCCGACTTAGTTTACATCTGCTCGCTATTCTCCTTCTTTCTATACGAGCCGTAGCTCCTCAATTGATGAAGAGACCTGTCACAGTATGAAGACGATGTCGCTGTTGCTCCCCACGACTTCAACGAAGACGCCATCGCCGCTACAAGTTTTTTAGCCCTAAATCTATCGCTCCGGACAGTGTTCCGAAAATATAAGGAATCACCGATCTGCCTCAGTGACAAGAGAATGAGAAGCGCACCAAAGGGTTTTCCTCAGCGACAATAGGAATTGCCGATCTGCAGGTGACACTGTTGATGGCGGCCAAGGAGAGGTCACGCTGTTTGGTAAGCCCAATCTCATTGGAACTACAAAACCCTATCTCACAATTTCATTTACCGATTCTGTGTGGCATTTGATTCCATTTTAGGTCTTTGCTATCCCGTAATGAATTCTTGGTTATGAATATGAAAACAGGGGCCATCAACTCCGTAACTTGAACATTAACTGCAGTGTACCGAAATAGAATAAGCCCAGACCCCATTTTTTTGACAGCATAAGCATTCTCTGTAGGTGGTTTCTATGCTATCAACAGGAGAGGTCAAGTGTTGCTTGCCACAGTAAATGAAGCAACACTTGTGCCTTTCGTGAGCGGACAAGTAAGTTTATACCTTTTTCCCAGCTTGGTATTAGAAAAATGAATCTAAGTTTATTCTATTTAAAAGTTTGAAATGTATTTGGCAGTTAAATAATCTGGAACTCGCGATTAATCTTGCCAAAAGAGGAAATCTTCCTGGTGCTGAGAATTTGGTTAGCTAATGTTTTGTTCTTCACACTCCACTCTTTTTTTTATTATTTGGAAATGAAGATGCATCTTGGTTAAAGTATTGCCTTCATAGTGTTCACTGTTCAGCATAGATTATGCCTGTTTAAGGTACTTTTAATTGGATACACACAAGATACTGTGTGGTTCATAAGATTTGGAATGGTTGGAGCCAAGTTGTGAAGTTTTGATAATTATGTGTCAATTTACCTTGATATTTAGAAGGCTGCTGAGCTTGCTACAGAGTCTCCGCAAGGCATTCTCAGGACACGTGACACTGTTGCCAAATTTCAGGTTTTGTTACAATCATTATGGCTCCCATAGCTCTAACCTTTCATATCATTGGGGACAAATCTGAAATTATATCATAATTTATGTTTTTAAAAATTTAAACTCTTATTTGCAGAGTGTACTTGCACAGACGGGGCAAACACCACCTTTGCTGCAGTACTTTGGAACACTTTTGACAAGAGGGAAGCTTAACGCCTTTGAGTCACTGGAACTTTCATGTCTTGTTGTGAACCAAAACAAAAAGAATCTTTTGGAAAACTGGCTGGCTGACGATAAACTGGAGTGTAGTGAGGAGCTTGGGGATCTTGTGAAGATTAATTTTTTGTTTCAATTGGTCATATTTTGGGTGGCGTGTCTCGTAGTCATTTTTTCTTGCTCCCCACACTAATAGGAACACGTTGTCTTGTAGACTGTGGATACTGACATGGCCTTGAATATATATATTAAAGCGAGAGTGACCCCAAAGGTTGTTGCAGCATTTGCTGAGCGCAGGGAGTTTGACAAGATTTTAATCTATTCCAAGCAGGTTATCAGCAGTTCGTTTTAGTCATCTCATTTCTCTCTTTCTTCATCATCTAGTTTTTAAGATGAAATATGAGTTGTGTCTTATGTTTTGTTTCATTGTCGTCTGGTGTTTTGTTTCAATATTCAACTGATTATTGTTAAATGATTATCTGATGGTTTGTGTTGGTTATGCTTACAGGTTGGATATACACCCGACTATCTTTTTTTTACTGCAAACAATTCTACGATCAGATCAACAGGTGCGCCTCTGAATATGGAAATGAGCACATCTTAGTACAGTTAACATTCACTGTCGATGTTTTCTTTCTGTTCCATGTACCTTGATTTTTTCTTACTGAAATAAGTATGGCATGTTAATGTTGTTATAAGTAAGTACGGCATGTTAACATATCTGGAAACTATCATCTTCTTTAGTGAATAATGCATAAATGAATAACAGTGTAAGTAGCATATGGGTGAATGTAAACAAGAACTAATTGTTCAAACTTCAGGCCAGGTATGCATTGGCTTGTTGATTTACTTACCAGTATCACAACTCACAGTTTCATCAAGCCATTGGTAGGCATTTAGGCTCTCAAACGTTACATTTTTGGATATTTCCTTTCTAGAAGAAACCAAAATTCTTTTAACCTCATCACTTTGCAATATGGTAATGAAACATGGTATCTTTATTATATCTCTTAGTCCTTTATACCTTCTTTTCTTTTGGTGATACGAACATTGGATTCCCATGGAGTGAAGATTTATTATAGATTGATTGTTGAATTTAGATTATGCTCATAAGGTGTTTGATAAATTTCTGTTCTGATTGATTTTAGTTCTATTTCCTTGTCTTGAAAACTGGTCCGTGGAAATGCATTTTTGGCATTCTCGTTTGTATCACCAAGGAATTTGATGGAAATTTAGTATTATGTTTTGCATCATATGTGGCTAAGATGATTAAGAATGTTTTCTTCCATTTTGAGTGTTCTCTTTTCTTCCAATGTGTTCTCTTTTTGAGCAGTCAGGGAATCACCTTAGTAACTCTGGCTATTACAACTGAGCATGGCTGAGGAACATGTCAATGTGCCTTGTGTCCAGTTATAGAAGAAGTATGAGTCCAAACGTAGTAGTAGAACAATGGCTTCATTCTGTGCAGCAGAAGATATGATGTCTATGTATGAGAAGAAATGTGAAGGCCCTATGAAGAATGGGCTAAAAGTTGGATTTGTTAGCGTTTTGTTCTTGTTTTTACTTATTGTTTCGTGATATGTCCCAATGAATTATGTAGAATTATGTAGAATGTACAATCACATTTACGTGTGAATTTGAGATATAAATAAAAATAATTGAACGTTTGGTTATTTATTAGTATTAAATTATGATCGTAATCAATGTATCATGTGTATGATTTCATAGTATTAGCTTGTCATTAAGTTTTGTAATACCGTAGTGTCGCCAAGGTATCACTATTTAGTGATACTTTAGTGTCATTAGAGTATATGATGTAAAAGTGTCGTCGAATAGCTATGTCGCTAATGCGTCACTATATTGTGATATCGTAGTGTCACAATTTTGTGACACTTGCAGTGACACTTAAAAAGTGTCACTCGTAGTGTCACTAGCCCCCACTTTCAGCGACACTTTTTTAGTGTCACAGAAACTTTCAGTGACACTAATTTGGTGTCACTGTAAGGCATTTTTCTAGTAGTGAATGCTACTAGCTATGCCTATCTTTCATTTCATTGAAGTGTGTCATATTATTTGATATTTATCCATGATTGAGTAATCCATTGTCATATTGTAATTGGTTTATGTGAACAAAGTAAGGTAGTTGTTGAATGTATATTTCAGGTCTCCAACTAAAACAACTCGCACACACCACCTCAGGATTGCTTAGCCAATAGCCACTCCACTCTCCAAGTTTAGCTCTCAACTCACTCCAACCCACAAAGAGGAAGAAGAAGAAAGACTCTTGTTACACTCTCACACACCTCACTTTTATCTTATCCGCACTACACTCTAAAGAAAGAAGCTGGCTGCCTAGTTAATATAACATGGGAGATGTCCACAGAGCCAAAACTGAATTATTAGAAGGCAACGGTTGTACAACTGGCCAAGGAGTAGAGACACAAGAGATATAAGAGAGATGACTAAACATAGGGTGCAGACCTTAACATAATAAGTGAACGGGAGGTCTTAGTAAGACCAATACCTACAACAGTAGTCTTGTATATGATCCCCGTCCAAGGTCGGATCTGATACCAGAACTGAAATGTGTCCATGCCTACCAATCTAACATACATTAGTGTAAATTTTGCCAAAAGAAAAGTTGAAATATACCGATTT